GACTGACATATGGCACCGAGGCTGTCATCCCGGTCGAAATCATGGAACCATCCCGACGAACGGAGGATCCCCTCGACAAAGAAATGAACGACGAAGCACTAAGGGATGAACTCGACCTAGTCGAGGAAATCCGATCGGGTGCAGCCCTGCGCGAAGCCACCCTAAAACAACGAGTGGCTCTGCGCCACAACGACAAGGTCATCAAGCGCGAGTTCGAAATCGGCAGTCTGGTATTACGCAGGAACCAGAAAGATTCCCGCGAAGGGAAGTTGGCCGCGAACTGGGAAGGACCTTACCGCGTCCACGGCACCACGGGTACCGGGGCGTACTACCTCGTGCAATTAGACGGAGAGCCATTACCACAACCCTGGAACGCTGCTAAGCTAAAGCAGTACTACAGTTAGAAACTACCAACACCTGGGACCCTCGACCAACAGCACCCGCGCTCGGTCAACGAGGAAAAATGTCCGACTTCGTATAAGGCTAAGGTACAAGCCCGACATACGGCCAAAATGGCACGGAATCGCGCGGTAAACGATGACGATCAATAGTGCCCGAGTTGGACAGCTATACCGAGCCCCACCGTCGTTGTACCCCTAAGGCAGAACACCCAGCTCGCGATGGGCAGTTCACACCAAGGGCAAATAGTCCCTAACGGGCTCCACGCCCTACTGAGCAACTTCGCTCCAAAATGCCCGACATGCCATCAAGAATAACGGGCCATCTAAAAGGGTCAAAGGGAAGTCTCTCCCCTCGAGGACAACACTTAGGTTACAGGCACTCCTCGGGCCCATGACTTAGGCTAAAAATTCATGCAAATATATAATTTCAAACAAGGGCAAAACATCCAAAATGTAAAACAGCATTGATATAAATGCCCGAAGGCGATAAAACAATTATAAACCGACCAAGAAGGCCGGCGATGTTCGTAGCGTACAACAAACGGGCACGCAGGCCCAAAGAATACAAATGTCAAGGGCACGCAGGCCCGCTATCCTAGTTAGGTCTCCCCGGAACCATCATTGTCGGCGCTTGGAGAGTCGGGCGGAGGAACGATCACGCCATCCACGATCTGATGTGTGTGGCCGATACCCTCAGTAACCAGACCAGGGTTTAGCAAGGAGAGTTGACCGACCGCGGAGTTGAACCCATCCTCCAGGGCACCGACACAATCCGCCTCGAGGAGCCGGATATGGGCGACCAGCTCCAACCGACTCTTCAAAGCCACTATGTCCTCGGGCTCGTCCTCGGCAGGTTGCATGGCAGCATTCATTTCCTCGATCTGCTGGGCCAAGCGTTCGACTTCGGCCCCCAGACGATCCCGGTCTGCCCGAAGAAGCTCCCCCTTCTCGGCCAACTTCCCCGACTTCTCCTTCTCCAGGGTCAACATCTCCCTCTCAGCATCGAGCATCGCCGTCTGCTCGCGGAACATCTCCTCGGAGCGTTCCAGAGCGACCTTCAACTTCCGCGAGCTCGAGGTCAGGGCCGCCTTCTCCTGCTCGAGTTCTTCAACACAGGCAGGATCCCCTCCATCCTCGGATAGCACCAAAGCCATCTCGGCCATTTTTACCAGCCCGTCCATGCTGGCGGCCAGATGCGCCTTCCGGTCCTATTTACTCATCTTTTTTATGGCTGCAGCTTCGTCGGCAATCACTGTCAGAGGGAATCTCTCGAAAAAGCCCGCCTCTTCGAAGCAAGGGGGGAAGGCGAAAGATTTAACGGCACCGGCATCCTCGCCAACTGTCGGACCACTTTCCACACGGGTCCTCTTCCTTTGTATCAAGACGACACTAGGGTCGATCTCTTCAACTTCTGGGGTCCCATCCGACGCGGCCCCCGAGCTTGACGGTGAGTCCACCCTCACCGGCTGAGGTGCACTTGGACTGTGTGGTGGGCCCATACTCGTCGCCTGTGGGGCCTTCACAACCCTCCTGCCTCGCTTCTGGTCGCAAGATAATTTCAAGAGCCTTTCATGTCGACCAGCCATCGAACCTGCACAAAATAAAAGTTGGGCCAGTATCGAGCAAACTCATAAATAAATGACGAGCAAAGAAATTCAAGCAATAAACAACCTAATAGACGGGCAGCCTGCCTGTACGTCGGGCACTCCACGAGCGCCTTGGTATCAATCGGACGGGACTCGAACGTTGGGTAACCATCTTTGTCCAAGATATCATCCCCTTCCCGCGTAACCCACCGGGCAGGATGGAAGCTATCAACAAACCGGCAAAGCGCGGCGTACGCCTCCTCGTCTTCCGAGCACATGTCCCCGACAGCAGTATGGTAATAACCAGTCCCATGCTCGTAATGCCGGAACATCCAGTGCACAGGGACTTTAGCCGTACGGGCCAACACAGGGTTCCCATCGTCGCCCAAAACCGCCTCCCCGTCCTCGTCGCTCAGCGACTCCTCCTCCTCGAAAAGAGAACTTAAAGCAGAGGTGGTAACTGGCCGCACCATGTATCACTTATCTTTAAAACCCCTCACGGAGTCCATATACATTTTGAAGAGTCTCCTCGACTGCTTCAGGGAGACCCAACTATGTTTCCCTCCTCGGGACTGGCGCTGCAGGTGAAAAATCCGGAAGAAGAGCGGTATGGTCGCCCCGATCCTCAAGTAGAGACACGTCAACTCAAACGCCCGGATGAAGGCGAGCGAGTTTGGATGTAGCTGGGACGGGGCCAGCTCCAGGTGAGTGAAGACCCCGACCTGGAAATCAGTGAAGGGCAGCCGCAGCCCTAGATCTTTGAACGCGATCTCATACATCGCGAAGCTATATTCCGGATAAACCGAGCAGATCCTTGCACGGGATGACGGGCGCATGACTACGAAGTTCTTTTGGAAGTCGGGCTGGCCCTGGCCCGCTTCAATGACAGCATACGGATCCCGGTCGCCCCGACTGTAGACCGATGCGATCCCTCGGGGCTCGACGCCCACCCAATCCAGCAAAGGGTCAGTCACAGTATCAATCAGGTTGACCGACTCGTCGACACTTTGTTCTTCACGATCGTGACGCCCGGAGGAGCTCGGCTCGTCCGCCATGGTTACCTGCAGAGCACGGAAAACCAGTCAATTGAGCACGAAGCCATACGCTCGACAAATCACGTCCACGAATGGTTGCCTCCCCGACATCCTGAAACTCGGCGTGTTCTTCCTCAAAACCAACTACGCGGTCACTCTCCAACATGTCGACCCAAGGTATGAACATGGCGGGCCACACCACGAGGCCCACGGCCAAGGCCATGAACATGCCGGGCGCGATCATGCATCAGGCGCCCTGGATCAGGAAGACCCCGGGCAGCGCTGGAGTTTATCACCTAAAACTATGAATACGCCGACCACAAACATGCGTTTGCCGGACCTAGGCATGAATATGTCGGGCTAAGTACGAGTTTACCGGGCTAATCCCACGCGCACGGCCCTAAAACATCTACAAACGCCAAAAATCATGCATTCTAACAAGAAAATGAAGAAGATAGACCACTTACTTGAATCAAAGAGTAGGAGTTGGCTACGGAGTAGAAGAATCTGTGACAGAAAGTCGCAACTGGAAAAAATCTGGAAGAGCAGCAGCAGAGAGAACGCAGAGAATAAAAACGTGTTATGGGGCCCAAGGTTCCTATTTATAGTGATGACGTGGAATACCAAACGTCACCTCGGGCAACCACGGACTCCCTCTCCTTGACGCGCTGCTCCCAACGCAATGATGACCCTATCCCCATAGGGTGGCGGCACAGTTCCCGAAAGATACCTCGTATGCTCGACAGACGCGCCCGGTGAGGATCCTCCAGGCACCCACCGCGGAAGATGTCTCCGAGCACGGCACGAGGAGGCCCTCGAGGGGCCACACCTCTGTCCCGGGCACGAGACCTCGATGAAGAAGCGACTTGAGTTTAAGTCATGGCTCCTCACAAAGGAACCACGACTTGGGGGGCTCCTGTTCTAGACTGGGCCCAACAGGCCCAAAAGCATTGCAAAGGCCCAGTCCAAATGGACTTACAAGGGCCACGCCGACCAAAGAGTGAGACCGTGCCCGACGCGCAGTCGCTGGTTCGACGATACGCCTCCAGCTCGACATGAGATGGTCCAGCACCACAATCTGAGGTCCAGCTCGACATTACCTCGAGCACCCTAGCTAGGGCAGACTCAGTCCACCGTTCCCCCAACGATACTCCGAAAAGACCGCGTCTCCGTCCGCCCGCACTTCACGCAGAACATCCAGGAAGGGGACCACGTGCAGGTCCCCACTACGCACGTAGAACCTGGCAGTTCCTCCATTGGGCCAAACCTGCCCGGCCCAGTGAAGGAACCTTGGCCCAGCGCTGAGAGCTATAAATACCCTCTGCTTCCAGAGGGTCAGATATTCATCATTCTAATCTTACACTTGCTATTATCTGCTCGTACTCCTACTTACTTCAGCATCGGAGTGCCTTGCAGGTACCCCCCCACCTCGTTCAAAAAAACTTTCTGCTCGGAGTCAGCCGTGACGGTCCATTTCTGATCAGGTCAGATCAGAAATGAATAACAATTTTACTAAGAAGAGAGGTAGGTCAACTTAATAATTCATAACAAAATATTAGATTTTAGAAAAAAATTATACTCACCTCTCAATGAAATTAGTTAAAAGGACAATCATAGTCTCTTTAATTTTGAATTGTATATTAACATCTAAATATATATATATCAATAAAATTTATGTATTTACGATTTTTAATTGTTAGTAAAAATTATAGAGGATATTCGTGTCAATTTAATTGACTTTGAAGGAGATTAATATATTTTTAAAAATTAGAGAAAGTGTTAGTATCATTTTAAATAAAATGTGTGTATTGTTTTTCATTAGGTTTTACTAATTTAATAGGTTAAAAATGGACGGAAAATTACACGGTTAGAAATTAGAATCAACGGGAAGAAACATGACCACGTCACCAAACTAAACCCCCAAAACCCTTGTTGGACCGTTCCTTCACTTCAGAGTAGCCACAATCCAATACAACAAAATGGCATCAAAGAAACCATGGAGAATCATTCCAAGACCCCTCCTCGAAACAATCCTCAACAACCACGCTCAACACCACCGAGTCCACCAACCCCTCCTCCTCCATGGCCCTCGCGGCGTCGGAAAAACCACCCTCATTCTGGAACGTCTACTCAACGACTGGAACAAAGCTCCTCACATCACCGGTTACGTCGATTTCGCCGAATCCATTAAACCCCAAACCAGCCCTTCCCTTCCATGGGCCTCATGGTCCACCTCCCCACCTCCCACTCTCTCCGATTGCCGGAAAAGCCTCGACCAATGTCTCGAAGCCATGACCGAGAAAGCTCTCCGTATGGGAGCCATTACTTCTCGACAGATATTCAATTCTCTCAACAAATGGCACGGCCTCAGTGGATCCCTCCGGCGCGTGTTGAACACTCCAGCTTCTAAAGGCTCCCCGGCGGTTCTGTGGGATCGTGCGGTTTTAACGATGGCGTCTCAGTGTAATGCTGATGAGATCGATAGGGTTTTGGGATTTGGGGAAAATGAGAAGAATGTTTTGTCCGTTGAAGAGGCTTCTTATTTTAAGGAATCTGTGGTTGCGTTGAAGTTAGCTAAGAAAGTTATTGAGATGCAGCAAGGGTGGAGAGGTAATGCTATTGCTCATATGAATCGAACGGGAGGGTTTTCTAGGACTCTCACTCATTCTTCAACTGATTGGCCATTTTTATTGTTGGATTTGTTGTCACAGGCTGCTGAAATTCATCATTTTCAGGTACTTTTATCACCAATTGCAAATAATGTGAACATGAATGTTAACTATGAAGCACGGACACAAATATGACACCTGATACATCTACACCCGTAATAATTAGAAAATACGAATAAATTAATTAGGGAGTTTTTTTTTTTTTTGTCAGGCATTGCACTATATGCCGCTTTTAGTTAGGCCATGTATGCATAAACAACTTAATTAAAACTTTTATTTCATAAATCCTGCAAGTGTTTATGCATAAATTATTTCTATTACAAAAGATAAGGAATCTGTTAAGGTTGACTTATTTGAATTTATCTACCAGCATAAACATTTGTAATTTGTAAGATTGTTTGAAAGAATTTATGAAAGTAGCTTATGATATGTTTATATGGTGTTTTCAACTTATTTTTATTAGCTCTTCAAGATAACTTATGAAAATAGCTTATGTTAAATCGATTTAACTTAATTTTATCTTTAGTTGTTTATCCAGACAGAGCCGAAGCCAATAAAGTCAGACTGTTCTCATATAAGTTATAAACTGGTTACATAAACAATTTTGGAGGGCTTATGGAAATAGGTTGAAAACAGCTAATGGACATGTCGTAGCTTGTTTCAATAAGCTCTCTTAAACAATTTCGCTAGTGCTTTTTAGTTATGGCAATGTATAAACTCAAATAAGACAAGTTCCTTAGTGTTAAGAGTCCCACATCAAAAAATATATGGCCTGACCATGTCTTTATAAGTGGGGACAATCCTCACCCTACAAGCCGGTATTGTAAGGATGAGTTAGGCCTAACCACATTTCTTAAGATGGTATTAGAGCCTATCCTAGATCCATTGTTGTGCTTTCCGCATCATCCACGCTTCGGGCTCATTGAGGCCCAAGCGTGAGGGTGTGTGTTGAAATTTCCACCTTAATTGTGATCCGTCCCTAGTCACCTTAATTGCGGTCCGCCCCTAGTTGCCTTAATTGCGGTCCGCCCCTAGTTGCCTTAATTGCAGTCTGCCTCTAGTTGCCTTAATTGTGGCACTTTGGCTTGCCTTCATTGCAGTCTCTGACACCTTCACTGTGTTGGCTTTGAAGGGTTGGATTTAGTCCCATATTGTTTAGAGATATGGCCTGGGTTTGTATTTTTAGGCGGGGGGCAATTCTCACTCTACAAGCCGGTTTTATAGGGTTGAGTTAGGCCCAACTCACACATTCTAAGACTTAGTTTTGGGAAAATCATCTGGGTTAGCATATTTTTGTATCGTGTGTTGTGGTAATTCAAATTGATAAGGTATTGGAGTTGCTTGCAGCCGAAGCTGGTACTTAACAATATTGAAGTTCTAAAGCATGCTACCGTAGACGATGAGTTTTCAGTCACTGGTCCACTCTATCATGATAGCTTGATATGGAGAATAATTGCTTTGGGTGCTAACGAACAGTGTCTTCCTGTTATCCTCGTCACATCTGATGGGTTATTTTCTTCATTTAAGCTTCATTTCCTTCCCTGTTTATATATTTTACTATATAAAGATCTTCTTAACTGACGTGGAATGCAATTCAATTTGTTTAGCATCACAACATCATACTTTTATGTCTATTGAGCTTGTTTTATTTACAATGAAGGGATTCATAATTTGTTTATGCATTGGTTTCATTTGACTTGTGAAGCGAGGGCCTGAAATATGACATGCTTATAACCTTGGATGTACTGTGAACTATTCGTTGCTTTTTCTCTGAAAATTGTTGGGCAACTTTATGTTTGTCGCTATTGAAAATTTGGGAGGTTTGGAACCTTGTTGTCACTTTCTACTTTTTATAGTTTCATATTTTCAGGAGAGTAAACAACACTTTTTTCATATACACATTTAAATTTATGAATTTATAATAATGTAATATGGGGGAAGCTGTTTGAAGCAAATGATGGGAAGTGCACTACTAAATGTCAGGACCAGAATAAGTAAACTAATTTATTGTATTTTTTCTGCAACAGTTCACAACTTTTGCAGGAAACCTATTTTGTGAAGATTACAAGTAGTAGACTATTTTTTCTGTAGTATTGCAGTATATGAATCATTTTCCTGTACACTCGAGTTTGATAATTAGCTTCTATGTTGGTCCCTGTGATCTATATTCAACATACTCGGTTCTTTGCTTTTTATGGTCTTATTGCACTGTATGTCTTTGGTTGTTCTTAGTGTTTTCATCTATTTTATTAAACCTTATATTATCTTTCCTCTCACTCCATGGTTTCTGAATTATTGAATTCTTAGGCAACATTTTCACTAACTGGAATATTTGGTGTCACCCTTTCTATGAATTCTAATACCCCTCTGTTTTCTCCAGTTATTATTCATATGAAGCTTTCTTGGATTTTGGATATATGGAGATATTCATCTCACGTGAGGTACTTGAATAACTTCCATCCCCCTCTTCCCTCCCTCTATGCTCACAGCCACATATGGATCTTGAGATATTATGTGCAAACTGGGGTCAAAAGCATGAATTGACATAATCTTGTATGAGGTCCTCCTTATTAATCTACAACTGTTTTATTTAGAATCTCTCTCTCTGCAAAAGAAATGTGACACAATTAGAAATAGATTAAAATACACTTTCCAAGAGCAAGTCTTCTGGGCTTGGGAAGTATAAACGGGAAAACGTTAGTTAATTTATGTCAGTGTCCTCCCTGCATTCAAAAGGGTTAACTAATGTTTAACAAGGTTTACTAGAGAGTTAGCAGCCTGATATTTATAAAACTGTGTGATGACAATAAGTGTCATTTTCATAGATTTACATTCTCATTAGTCAGTGAAAGATGATAAGCGTCCTTGCTTCTCCATCTTATAAAAGATTGCACTTTGGAAACATTTGCCTCATATCCATTTTCCACATATATTCCTGTATTTTCAGGTCATCAATATAGCTGTAACAAGTCATGAAATTCAGCCTGACAGATATCTCCAACTCTATTTGGGGTTCTATTCTAGGTAAGAACCCATTATGTTGGTCTATCGTAAGCAACTTTACCTTGCATTTTGCATGAGTCTAATGTTGGGTATCAAAATAACATAATATTATTACACAACTAAAATAAAGATGAGAAACTGAATGTATTCTTTCTGTATATTTCTCTCAATGTAGATATCATAATGAATACACAATAGTTTCTGTTTATATAGCTATTGCTACTATTCTATTTAAAGGTACAAGAGAAACTTATTCTCATCCTTAGAATTTATGTGATTCTATTTAAAGGTACAAGAGAAACTTATTATCATCCTTAGAATTTCTATGGTAAAAACTTTATCACCTCTTATTTAGTTAAAAAGTTTTTATGGTGTTGACAATTTCCATCATTTAAATGTGATTTTATATCTTCACAATCTCCCACTTAAAGTCAATTTTGTAAAATTTACATCACGTTGTAGGAGGATCGGCACCAAATAAATTTATTTGTGCATATCAACACTCTCTTGCTCTACTACTTCTCGAACAAAATTGCAAGGAATCCATCATTTCATTCTAGAACAAATTACATTGGTGTTTAATTTTGTGCCGATCCTCCTACGGCGTGATGAAAATTTCACAAAATTGACTTTAAGTGGGAGATTGTGAAAATATAAAGTCACATTTAAGTGATGGAAATTGTCAACACCATAAAAGCTTTTTAATAAATAAAAGGTGGTAAAGTTTTTGAAATTCTGGCAGCAGATACTCAATGTCACAGTGAATGTTATAACACCGTATCTGACTTTCTATAAGACAGTAAATAAAAACAGTAAAGAATACAGTCAATTGTTTACCCAGTTCAGTGTGAAACAACACCTACTCTGGGGGCTACCAAGCCAGGGAGGAAATCCACTATAAGAGATATTAATTCAGGAATAAACCAACCAGTTTATCTCATTCACTTAAGACCTACCCAATGCAACTTCAATCTAAGTTCTACTTAAACCTGAGTTCCTACTCACTCCCCCTCAATCACAGCAGTGATACTTAAAACAATTGACTAATGAATTAATGAAGACACTCTTCAGAACATACACTTGATTATGCTTCACAGCTTTTTAATCAAGTAACACAAACACTCTTGCTTCACAGCTTTGAGTGATACATATACCTAACTTGACTTTGCTTCAAAGCTTTAGTCAAGAGACACAAAACACTCTTACTTCAAAGCTTTGAGTGATACAAAAAAAATTTACAATCAAAACCTATTCCAAGTCACTTATCACAATGATAATTGCTTGGATTACAGCAGTTAAAACTATACAGCTCCTAATTGATCTTCAGTCAAAAAGAGATACTTTCCAAACAACAATCCTGTTGAATATATAGCAGTTCAGTTAGGGTTTCCACAAAAAGTTAGGGTTAATTAGGTTTAACCTTAAGACTTGGTCACAAGACTTTATCAACCAGATTAGGGTTGAGCTAGGTTAACCCAAAGTCCACGCAGGATTCTGTTCTGGAAGGAATGACTCAACTTTCTGAAAAACTCAGAATTAACCAAACTGCAAAACTGTTAGATCAGTACAGGATGTCTTAACATTTGTTATGACATCAGAATTCCTGTTTACTGATTTTGGTAGAAGGCAATAAATGTGATCTTTTGCAAAATGCTCAGATACACACTCATACACAGTAGCTACTGTATGCCATAATTTTTCTGCTAAAGTACCTAATAAACCAGAATGTTATGACATCAGTCATGACATTCACACACCTGGTTTTACCAAAAATACATGCCAATAACTAAACACTTACAATTTTTATCATAGAAATTCTAAGGATGAGAATAAATTTCTCTTGTACCTTTAAATAGATTAGTAACAATAGCTATATAAATAGAAACTATTGTGTATTCATTATGATATCTACATTGAGAGAAATATACATAAAAAATACATTAAGTTTTTCATCTTTATTTTAGTTGTGTAATAATATTATGTTATTCTGATACCCAACACCTAATTTAGGACATATACTTGTGAGTGTGACCTCTAGGAAAACAGGCAAGAACTCCAACTATCACGAGAAGGCTTGTTTTCTAGTAGCTAGAAGCAAAGGGAAAGATGTTTACCTACAGAAAGTAACATTAAGAAATAATGTCATTTAACCCAAACAGTTAAGGTTTTGAATTTGGTTGATAAGGTTTCTCTTCCCTTTTTATTTTTTCCATCTACTTTTTTTTAATCTTCATTTCATATGTTGTTTTTACTCTAGTGAGGGTTGTTTAAGTAAATTACTTAATTTAGAACTTATTGCTTAAGTGCTTATCAAATAAGTGTATGTGTATAAGCTATTCCTATAATCAAAGAGAGAGTGGTAAAACTAATTTATGTACAACTTTTAAGCTGTTTTAATAAGTCATGGCGGGGAATTTATTAAAAAAAGATGAAAACATGTTATGGACATCCTGTATGCTGTTTTAAACACTTAACAAGTGCTCATTCATGAGATAAACCCAAATAAGCTCTTACAAATGCACCTTGAATTTTAAATACGTAGTAAGAAAAGACGAATCCAAAGTCCTAGAAGCTAAGATGCAATGCTTGTTTGTTCATCCTCTGATTTGCAAGCAACTCCATCACTTCACTGTACTCTCTCTGATTGGCAAAGTTTGCTTGACTAGTGCGGGGCGGGGAACACAAGTTTAACAAAATACATTATATAGTTTCATTGATAAGCTCATTTTTTAGAAACCATTTATGACTCGTAACAATATAGGATAATTTCATCATTTTCACGAAACACCAATGCAGTGACTAAAATAAATTGGGGGAAGTTATTTGTCATGTGTAGATATTCCTTAGATTAGGTTTAAGTTCACTGATGATTTTTACCTAGGATAGGGTTCTATTGTCTTAAAATAAATTTCAATCTAACTAATTTAATGCTGATTTTTATGCTACGCACATCATAATAAGTATACTACAGGTAACTTGTAGTTCGGAACAATTTTACTGTTTATATATTTTCCTTTACCTGCAATGAAAATTCATCTAGATGGTAAATGTCTACTTAATTTTGATTACATCTTAAAGTGATTGCCTCTGGAATTTGGTCATGAAGTCAAGATGATTTTGAGATACTTTGTCCTTTTGCATGTATGCAACTGCATGATTGTGATGAGTGTTGTTTAAGACATTTTTTATTAGTTATTGGGTTTAGTTTATGTTATTCATCAAACAACTTTTCTTTTGACTGGCAGACATTTGGGTGGACTCCACAAGAAGCTCAAATGCACATGGTCACGGACTATTTTAGTCATTCAGAAGTATGAATATCATCTTGGAACAAATTTTAGTTTATTTATGTACTTATTTTAGTTCCTTGCAATTTCTGCTACTTATAATTATTACTCCTTAAATTTCAGTGGAAAGTGATTGCCGGGGTGCTTGGGCCAAACCCTCGACATCTATTTGAGCTATATGCACTTAAACAAAACAATTATCTGCACAAGTAAGATTTATTTATTTTGGATTCTTATATTACCACAAGTCTCATCTATTGCCGTGTAGGGGTTGTATAGTACACTTTTGACCATTGAGTGCTAGATCTTTGCATTATCTTATAGGGGTTGTATAATCTCTACTGATTATTGGTATTGTATTTCTTACTGGCTATTGCTTTTATTTAACTGCAGGACAACAGCAGACAGAGATAGTACATTCGAAGACATTGTAGATGCTTATCTAGCATATTTGCAGGTAAGTTTCAAAGAGTCTCTCATTTCGGATCCTATTATCGTCTTAAAACTATAATCAGGGGCAGCGATTGATTTTTGGAGAACTAGCATCTTTTACCCATGCATTGTACATGTATAATTATAAAATATGGGTGGATAATAAAATCAGAAGAACAAAAAATTGACCCAAAAAAATGCAACATGTCAATATCCAGTTAGCAAAATGCAACAAAATGACGTCAATATATATACATACTTCACTTTATACAACTTCCGTTCTTTTCAATTCGTAGTTTGAGCTACTCGTTATGTTAGACTCAGTTATACACGTAGCCGTCTTCCAAAAAATAACCCATATATGATTTCATATAATCTGATAACCAACATGATCGGTCTGGGCAATCAACTCTACACAATGAGAACTATTATAATTAACACTCCATTGTCCAAAGCTGCAAATCTCCTTTATTTACGATATTCCTCTCAATGATTGGAGTATCCTTCAACTGAAACAGCCATATGGACACTTTTAGGGAAGTCTTGAGATTAAGTAAATAGCCGATCCCACCTAGTGGGATGAGACTTTTTTAATGTTTGTCTTGAGATTAGGCAAATGTCTCAGGCAGCATGACAGAAATAGTAGTACACTTTTTCATCTCCTGATTTTTCTCCCAAGTGCTCAATTGCATTCCTATGCCGGAATCCAATGCCTACTTACTTCATAGAGAGCTTAGTGCATAAATACCCATAACTACACAGAATAAATAGAAGTACTTTATGGAAGTTTTTGACTCTAAAACTTTGTTTTCTTCTTCCTCTTGGATTTAGAACGAAAAAAAGGGGGTTGGCTTTGACAGTATTTATATTATGGATATAGAAGGGTTTGTGACAGACTGGCAGTGGTCTATTTTGAATGGATGCATTTTATTTTTGGGGGGAGATTGTTTCTTGTTATGAAACACATTTTTAAGAACAATAATTTGAATTAATATATATGTATCTCACTAAATATGGAGATAGTACCAATTTATTATTAGATTTTGAGATATCTTGTTTAAGGAATTCAATTAGTAAGTTTTGGTTTATTCTAGGACTTAATGGAGATTTGCAGCATTAAAGGTGGTGGTTGGAGTGATCAGTGTTCAGTTGACCCAAGAAGAATTATGTGACTTGTATTTGGCCGAGTAAACGAGAAATAAAAATTATTGGATGTTCAGTATATCTTGTTTTCCACCCTTATTTATCTTTTAGTGTCTTCTTCTCTCATCACCAATTTAACATTCATACATTCACTTCTTGACGCATACATCCCTCTGATACACTTAAAAGTTAAAACACATATTTCACCATAGAAAGAAAATCCTATTTACTAAAATGCACTATCAAATTGCAGTAAAATTTTGACAGCCTGACAAAATTTTTGATAACCTAAAAAAGTATAATATTCTAATTTTTATACCAAGAGTTAAAACTGTTTGCCGTATACGTTTCAAAAGTTAAATACCATAGGCACACATCAACATTCTTTTTAATGATTTCTTTATATTAGTCGTATCCATCCTTGTAATCTCATTACTTAGCTCCTTAAAAGAATAAAAAACGAGAGGTTCTTATTCCCTTGTCTCTCTTTTGTGGATGAAATATTTGTGATTTTTGTTGTGTTTTTTCATAACCTTAGGGAAAACATGTTTCATTCTTTTTTGGTTTAATTATTTATGCAATAGTCTTCTCACTTCTGCACGTATGACTAATGGTGCGTGGCATTATCAAACTTGTCTAGATTTCTGTCGTGAATCCTGCGTTGGATGGAGCGTTGGAGATCTTGCAAAAATTTGCAATTGATGTGCGCAATGGAAAGATTTCTGATGACAGATTGCGTTTTGGTGCACCTTGGAGGCATCCACCAAAGGTTGATGACCCTAAGTTGCGCATGGAATGGGCAAAGCTTCAATTGATGGATTCTGTTAAATCTCTGGTCAATGCAGACTTTGGGGTAAATGTGTTATCTTTTTCAGTTTTTAAATTGTCTTTGTGGAAAACAGTTCTATCGGAAAACAGAAGCATACACATGCATGGATATGATAGTACAAAATTATAGGACCCCTGCTCTTCTGAGTTGTGTGTTGAAGGTTTCTTTAGCACCTCCTGGCTTAAGTCACCAAATGTCTCCAAAGTTTCCATTAGCCTCTCTCATTGCCTTCATCATCCTCTTTATTCATCCTTTTGTCATTCTTTCTCTTCATTATCAAGTTTTACTTAAAGTCTATTACACTCCCTGTCCATCATTTCTTCTTAACTCATAAAAACAGTAGTTTTCCTTCTCCTTTCATTCACCAGAACTCGCCAATTTCTTCTTTTCTTCTTTCTCCTCTGGTATAAACATGATTAAAGACCCATCACATCTCCTCCACAGATGTGGTACGTAGGTGTTCTTTTTGGTGAAGAAAGTGTAGCAAGCATGGGGAGTGAAGGGAATATGTTGGAGGGAACTGGACCAAAAAGGGCATTGAATTTGTGAGGGAGTTATGTGTTCTGTGAGGTCAGGAAGAGTATCAAGCTTGCTTCTCTGAGTTTATCTCTACTTTTCCCTTATCCTGTTTTTATTCTTCCTGTTTTCTGTTACTGTTATAAGATTATTGTTCTATAAATTTTCCTTGTAATTCCAGAATCTGTCTAGATGCTTTTTTTTTTTTTTCGAAATTTATTTGGAAGATTTACTTTTTCAGATGCTATATTTTGTTGTTTTAAAAAGTTCGAATAGAATCTTCATGGTCCATTACTTGGTGAGATCCCATGTTGGCCGCTCTAAATAACCTAGTCAACTTAGGTTATTTTTTTACTGAGTGTCAAAGATTGTGTTGGTAGTATTTCTCTCTATATGGAAGTAGTATCAAGTACTATAATAAGATATTTATAGCGCTGAGGGTAGCATTATTTTGTTTACTTACGGATCATGTAAAGATTTGCTTGGATTGTAATCTCTTTGCTCTCACTGATCATTATCATTATCTTCATGTCAGGTCAATTATCGAATTGAATATAGTGAAGAAATATTTGATGATCCTTCTGCTGTTGCGTTACTGCAGGTATATTATATCTGTTTTCAAAATTCTTTTCCAGAAAGCCCAATGACCCTTTAGGATATCCCTTGCCACTTTATGTATTACTAACTAGTAACTAGGTCATTCAATCTGCACTTTTAAAATGTTTAAGATGATAGTTAGCAGTTACATTTGCAGTCACATCTTTCAATAAGTTTATTTAATTTCATTTTTTTCATCTTAAAATGTCTTTTTGGTCTGGGTAAATTAGCAAATTTTATTACTGGTGACTGTAAAATAGATTTTTCAGTTTCAATCCCTCAAATATAAAAAATCGCCACTTATGGCCTCTACCATCAACAGAGTCCCAAAACATGTCCCTTTTGGTTATTATGGCTGTACTTTTATTTTAAATTCAGTACTATTAAACATTAGATAGGTGAATCACTGATTTTTTATAGCAGAATTTCAAAAAATAGCAACCTAGCTTATTCCTTAGGCAGAATCAGCTAAAATGAATCAAACAATATAAATAGGTGAATCACTGATTTTTTACGGGCAAAACTTCAAAAAAACAGCAACCTAACTTATCCCTTAGGCGGAGTCAACTAAATGTATAGAACAATAACTTAAGTAAATTTGGAAATAAAACTCATGTTATTTTATTATTCAATAATACCTTAACTCCAAGCATGAATAAAAACCTTTTTCCAACAGGTAGGACTAGCTTTTAATACTCAGTATTGAAGGCTTTGAATTACTTTAACTATGTTAGTAAACTATAATTTATTGACATCATTTCCCTTCAACATTGTTAATGGAAATATTTACTTTTCTTAACTTATTATTGGTCTATGGCAGGTGGGGTTGCTTTATGCTCAACGGGATCCACCCTTCTTTCGTCCCATATCTAGAGGAATTCAGAGGTGTCTAGTAAGATGGTAATTGGTTTTCTTTCTTTTCGGTGTGCTGGTAATAAACTGCAGAGGATTAAAGTATTCATTTAAACTAACATTTTGTTGCAGGCTTGTCCAGCAGCGGATGCAGCTCAGGTTGCCTCAGTTGATTCGATTTCAGTGGCACAGACTAATACGGGGACGTTATTATCGCCATTTGATGGTACAAGTAGACAATAAGTACTAGGCAGAGCATCATAATAGGTACAATACTTACTCAATACTTTTCATTATTTTTCTGGTTATTGAAACTAATGTAGCATCATTAATTATTGATCCTTGGCAAATGCTGTGTTAATACATACGTGAGATAGAATGTTCACTGTCTTGAGAAATGATTGCACTTCTGTTGCATTTGTAGCGCTTAAGAGAAGTTTAAATAACTGTCAATACTTGGCATGTAGAAAGTGTGTAATATAATCAACAACTGTCAAACTTGGTATGTAGAGAGGTGTATAAAGTTTGAAATATGAAGGAAGTCTGTTAGGTGGATGGTGTATAAAGTGTAAAATATGAAGGAATTCTGTTAGGTGGATTTTGGACACTATTCTCGTACGTATTCAATATCCTTTGGTTAATGGTCTTAATTGCCCATTTTCTCTGTGCATTGGTCCTTTGTTATTTGATTTATTACATTTGTTACTTCTGGGTTTAAGAAAATGATTTGAGTGAAAAGATTCAAATTTCTTAGCTATGGTTTCATATTCAGGTTTACCTTGGAAAACGACAAAGTGAGGCAAGCATTATACTGATTCCATGGAAAGGTGCGTTAGTATATCAGATATGGTCAATATACTGTATGAATTGAAGATTGAAGACTGAAATTATCATATGTTCATGTTTTATCGTATTGTCATACAAAAATTTGTATCGTAGATCTTTGGTTAAATTGTTTTGTGCAGTAGACTTTCTGTCCCTTATATTCAAGATGAAATGCATTTAAAATGGCACATTGCATAATGCCCGGCGTAACTTTCTGGTACAGTTTTCTGAGTTTATGCCCTGCCATTTTTTACAGCCAGCAGATGTGTGCCAACTGTTCCTTGGCATTATTTCACAAACGTGAAATTTTTGTGCAAATCTAAAATGCATAAGCTTGTTTCTTTGTTCATATGTTTCTTGATAATATTTCTATCTGTTTTCAGACGTACATAGCAAATATTGACGAGTACCTGGTTGTTGTCTACTTTTCTTCTATGAAGTAAATGCATTATGTTGCTTTTGCAAATTTATCTCCTTTTGTGCTATGATTTTAGACTTATACAGTTCAAATATTTCATCCTCAAGTCTCTTCAATGATGTCGATAAATGTTTCTGACTGCTTCTAGGACACGTTTATTCTGATCTAGTATGTGTCAAATTTTCAGGGAATAATGGCTCCAAACTTGCGCTTCAGTGGTCAAGAATTTTCTGGCACATTGAATTAATTTTTTATGATATGAGGCGACAATATGACTATGCTTTTGAAGTAGAAAATGTCAAGGACCCAGCAATTCAAATTGATGGATTTTTGGGTGCCAATTTCTAATCTGAAGTTTAACCAAGTATTGAACCACACTATCATTTGTACAAGTTAAAGCATGTTTCTCACAAATCACAGTGAGCTTGTGGGCTTCCAAATAGGTTTATTTATAAAAAAGAAGTTCTATATACAGGGGGGAATATCTTAATATGGATTCAATCAGATATATTAGTTTTGTACAGCGAGCTGGCCAGTTTGGACATTGTTTATTTGATTAGCACGTGTATTGGTTATAACAGTAATTATGGTGCTTTCTGTTGAATAAATAGTTATGTGTGCAACCTCAGATACTGATTATCTCCTAATTTGCATCTTGATTGATTGTAAACTACGATACCAGTTTGCGGATTATACACAAATTTCATTTTGTTTATCAGATTCAAAACCATACATCCTGATGTGGGGCATGTCTCCAAGATTGACATGGTACTCCCAAGTAAACTTACAAAACAAAGAATTATGATATGTAAACACCCAAATAATTCAACACAGTATATCTACACCGTATTATCCCTCTCTAACTTTCAACAACTTTTTAATTATATATATTTTATAAATCACAGAAGTGTACATGTACCCAAAAAGTTGCAAGGTGTCCAATATATGGGTGTACATATATCACATCTCTAAAACAAATTCAGTGTTGGACTGTTGGTAGCCATCTAGTTGATTTTTAGACCATTTCTTATTGCACTCTTATATATTTATATATTCTTTTAGGTCCTGTGCGAAAATTTTGAAATGCTTTACGTGTTTAGAAATATATCTTCGGATGTATTAGTTTTTCATTTTAAGCACATGTTATTTCGGAAATGTATATGTGAAGGGCATTGGAGGATATGTTTGGAGATACACCTCTGAATTAACTTTTTTTTTTTAAAATAAAAAAATATTTCAGAGATGTTTCTTCGAATTAAGTAAAAGTATTTAAACCTTACGCCAAACTCTTCCTTTTGTCTTTTATTTTTCAGGAATCAAAACTTTCTCTATCACCTATTGCACCCCAAATTTTAATGAGAGCTTTATCATTCACATTCATATATCGAATTAATTTTCATTCACATATCTTTACATTTCTTCGCGTTTTTACATTTATTTTTCGATTTAAATCTTTATCAATTTTTTTCTCTAGATATTATTTTTATTATTCTTTTTTTTTCTTTTCTTTCTTTTTCTTTTTTTTTTTTATTTCTTTTCTTTTTTTTTCCTCTTTTTTTTCCACAACCGAATAACAACCAACAAGATAAGTGAGCAAACATTGCTCTCTCCAATTGAATTCAACCAACATTAAAGTGAATACTTCCTACTTTTTAAAGCAAGCTAAAAATTCAAACCATAAATCATGGTTGAGGATTCTAGAAAACAAGAATCAACATCCATTCAAAAAAGAAAACCAAACATTCATAGACAAACATTAAGTTCAAAAATAACATGGACATTGACAAAAAGGTTTAACGAGGTTAACAAAAGTTTACACACTCATGAGGTAAATTGACTATTTGATTAGATAGTTGTGCTCAAAATCAAACAAAATGCCTTGATCACTTTCATACTTTCATACAATCAACACAAAAACAAAAGATTAAACATAATGAAATCCAATTAAAATAAGAATTATGGCCTTCAACATATATGAACAATGGAAAACTTCATCACATTTGGGGGTAAAAAGGAAATTAAAGTGATTTAATAAAAAAACAAGTAATACAAAAAGAATGAATGATATAGTAATTATACAAATGAAAAATTTCTTAAACATGTTATGCTATGAAAAGCGGTAAACGAGTACCTGACATGTATCAACTTCAAAAACTATCATTATCATACATCCACAAGTTAAATCAATCAAAATAGGAAAATCACCTCAAAATTCTTAAGTTATCAGACTAAAATTGAAGTCCAAACAACAACAAAAGAATTAGAAAAATAACTCTATTATGTATTAATCTAAAAATCTTAGGTGAAAAAGGGAAAAAGGAGAGCCAAATGAAATAAAAATAAATCACAGACTCAACCCAACAGAGCGCGCTAAGCGGGCATACCCGCGCCCTAAGCGCGCTACACCAGATACAGAAAAACAGGATAACAAATTCTAATTCTAATGCAACCTCCACTTTCGCCTACACATCCCATTTACACAACTAAACAAAATTTACAACACATACATATTTCTCAAGCTAATAAAAGCAAACTTTTGGAAAAACCGTGTGAAAGTGAATAAACAAGTTGAAAAGTGAGGATTTGAGAATTTTAAAAAGGTCCAATTTCAACTTGTTTAAACAACAATCAACACACTACCTAAACTAACACAATGAAAAACAATAAAATATGTTTGTTTTACGTCGTAAGCTCGACGCATGTTATTTACAAACCAACACGTTACTTCGAATGAGCCAAATGCTTTCACTTCCGCCTTTGCTCTCATCTCTTCAAGCTCTAACTAGAAATACACATCTAACCACATCTTTGGCAAACGTGAAGAGAAACTAATATATACACTATATTCACAAGTATTCAAAACATATAAAATTCACATGTATGTAGACAAACACAAGTATCAATATAAACAAGTTTCTATTTACACATTATAGGCAATATGAATATTATGTGCAAAACTCAAAAACAAAGAAACTATCGCGATGCGAAACAATAAAAACACCAATCTCCGGCAACAATGCCATTTTACTGAAGTGGTAAAGCGGCACGTAAAAGTAAATATTTGTTTAGTTTTATCATATCGTCTCCACATGGATTAGTGCTACTGAATTACCGTTCGACAATTTCTTGCATTCAAGAGTTTGAGTTTGAATGTGTTTAAAGTGGTAAATGCATGTACTAAAGTTATTAACAGAAAATAAATACATTCTTTGGAGAGGAGAAACGTATCCGGCATGAATTTACACAACTCGTCACAAACTTAAACTACTGATCAGTTGTACTCAACCTACTCTACTCGTCAAAGCCATCACGGTTACCACAAGATGTACCCACAACGAAGGTTATGTCTAACGCCAAGTCGCGAGATCAACATTATTACTTTATCGACAATGTCTTGCACGCTACAACAACATAGAGGCATTAAGCTTTAGCATCCAAAGTGAATATTACTTCTAAATCTATTTCTAGAATCTAGAAACTAATATATATCCATCCATAATGAAGACTTGTGATGTCTAACTCTACAACAACACAAATCCAAACATAAATGCAAAAAGATCAAAGAAGACATCAAGATTAATTTGTAAAGCAAGCTTTATACAATACCATAATAAACAAATATACATATGTTCAAAGTAAGAGTACAAACAAAACCCAACAAAAGATAAATACATAGAGAAGAAGAGAAATGAACCAAACATCTCGCGAGTTGTCAGTGCCGGTTGATGAGAAATCCACCTCCGAATCATCCATATGCAAGACCCTATGTTGTTTTCTACCTCCCCTAGACCAAAAAATAGAGTTGATGGTGTTGGGAATAAAAAATATCTCACCCATAACCTAAAAATATGTTTTTTCACCTATTTAATGAGTCTGGAAATCGCAGACCGCGCTTAGCCCAAATCGGACGCTCAACGCGTTCTGTGCTGTCATGAAAAAAATCAGCACTTGTTTTCACCATAACTTGAGAACCGTAACTCTGATTTACTCAGGGTTGAAGCGTTGAAAAGCTTATTCAATTACCTATCTAACAATGACTAAATATCAACCAAATTGATGATTTTTCTCATTTTTTTTAGCCTTATTCTTTGATGATTTGCTAAAAAATGTATTTTTGAAGCTTAGCCTTTGATCTTTATTACTCAATGCTCCAATTATGAATGAATACATACAAAACAAATGAAAAACTATCAAATGATACAATATTTATACAAAAACTCAATTATTCTATTATGCACACAAACTAAACGTATTTACAAACAAAACCAAACTAATTCAAACGATATTAACAAAAAGTATCGATAAGTGCAACAAAACTTATACACAAAAATAACTACAATTTGCATTTATTAAACTCTCTCCAACTTTAAACAGTATTGGGGAGAGTGACAATTTATTGTGTGTATAAATAAACTAGTGATAACTTTCATATCTTTAATCTTTCTTAAAGCTTTTGTAACCGTCATTGTAGAATAATAAATATATTCTCCCATTCTTCTTGTTTTTCATCACCTTATACACTAACAAATTTGATATATTATATTTAATGACTATTTAATTTTCTCCAATTTTATTATTAAGAAAAAAATTATTATATTTATATATAAGAGAAATACATTTATTATTCAATCAACCTAAAATTTAAACTTTTTCTTGTAAACAGGAGTCTCAAATTAAAAGCTATATATATCCTCTCGAGTCAAAAACTTATACTCTTTCAGCTAGCAGCTATGTTGTGGTTCTGCATTTTCTTAGCTCTCCCCATTCTCTCATTTCTCTTTCACAGATGTATAACAACAGTTGGTAACACTCCCATTCACGCACCTCCTTCATATCCAATCATAGGTTGCCTTATCTCTTTTTACACAAATCGCCACCGGCTTCTAGATTTCTACACTCACCACCTCTCTCAATCTCCAACTCAAACCATCCTCCTCAAGCGTCTCAGCGCTCGCCGAACCATCTTAACTGCCAACCCTCTCAATGTTGAGTACATGCTTAAAACCAATTTCAAAAACTACCCTAAAGGAAAACCCTTCACTGAAGTCCTCGGCGACCTCCTAGGTGGCGGCATATTCAACGTAGACGGAAAGTTATGGTCAGATCAGCGCAAACTAGTCAGCCATCAATTCACCACGAGATCTCTCAAAGATTTCGTTGCAAAGACTCTTGAAGATGAAGTTCAACATAGACTTATTCCATTGCTTGAATTGGCATCTAACAGTAACCTTGTAATTGACATGCAGGATATTTTGACGAGACTCACCTTTGAAATAGTATGTAAAGTTTCACTTGGCTATGATCCTTGTTGTTTAGATTTATCTAAACACGTGCCACCTCTTTTGTCCGCGTTCGACAAAGCTTCCGAGATAAGCGCAATGCGTGCAACTTTACCAGTTCCTTTGATTTGGAAGATCAAGAGGATGCTTAATGTTGGATCGGAGAAATCACTTAGAGAATGTGTTAAAACGGTTCATGAATCGTTGATGGAGATAATAAGAAAGAAGAAGAAGATGAAAGAAATTAATGAGAAGAAATATGTTAGTGGGAGTGATTTGTTGACAAAGTTGTTGGAGGCAGGGCATGATGAAATCACGGTGAGAGATATTGTTATTAGTATCGTCGTGGCAGGGAGAGATACTACATCGGCGGCGATGACATGGTTCTTTTGGTTATTAACAAGGAATCGTAGCAAAGAGGAAGTGATAGTGAAAGGAGTGAGGGAAATATTTGGAGAAAAAAATAAGAAGAATGAGTTTGAGTTGATAAGGTCTTTTGATTATGATGATTTGAAAGAGATGAAGTATTTGAAAGCTTGTTTGTGTGAGTCAATGAGGTTATATCCGCCAGTGGCGTGGGATTCGAAGCATGCCGCGACGGATGATGTTTTGCCAGATGGAGCTAGGGTTGGGAAAGGAGATAGGGTGATTTATTTTCCTTATGGGACGGGGAGGATGGAGGCTTTATGGGGAAAAGATTGGAATGAGTTTAAACCAGACCGGTGGTTTGATGAACCGATCGGAGAAGGGAATAATAATGTGGTTTTGAAACATGTGAGTCCTTATAAGTTTGCGGTTTTTCAAGCTGGTCCGAGAATATGTCTTGGGAAAGAAATGGCTTTTATTCAAATGGAGTATGTTGCTGCTTCAATTCTCAACCAGTTTGAAATTAGGCCTGTGTTAGATCATCAACCAGTGTTTGTACCTCATCTTACTGCTCATATGGATGGTGGGTTCAAAGTGAACGTCCATAAGAGAGTTTAAAATGGATAATGTGTTGCCAATCAGAGTTTGATTGATAGTTTGCAGACTAGGGGCAAAAGAATTAAGACAAAATCCATTGTGTTAAACAATTTTGTCCCTTCATTATTACTATATTTTTAACATTAGTTTCTTTTATTTTCCTTTAAGAGGTCATTGACCCATTTGTTATTTGAGTTTCTTTAAGAGGTTTTGGCCCATTATTACTTAGATCTATTAAAAATAAATATTTTAGTGTATGGTTGTTATCTCGACGGTATAAATATATTCCAACTTTTATTTTTATTTTATTTTATTCTCTCTAATTCAATGGTTAAATCCTAATCTAGTAGAAATGGTAGAACCCACAAACTCAACCTCCCAGTCATACTGTCTTAGAGGGAAAAAGAAATCTATTACAAAGCATCTCAGTCTCACACATCTAAACGGAAAAATCTATCCGATCATGCCCACAATGACCAATTAAAAATAATAATTACCAACAAAAACCTATTACTAAGGGTTTCACCAAAAGCCCATATATCTGATTCTTATAGCACATACTAATTACACATTCCATAACATTCAAATATCACAAATCACGGATCACTACCTCTTAATACACTATTACGAGAGTCTCTACCAAATTCAACAAAAGCACCTTCAATTGTTGAGGAATTTTTAAAAAAATAAATCAATATTAAGAAAATACAGTTGGATATCTTCGCAACTCTCCATCGATGAAATTCCTTAAAAAACAAGCACACAATTACCTTTGAAACTCTCCTAAAAAAAAACCAAAACTAATACCACCAAAACCAAAACTTATAAAATTATCACACACGCCTCTTTTAACCTCATCTTCCAAAAAGAAAATATCAACGTCATAGATTTCTATGGCTAAAAGAAAGAAACAAAAGTTGCCAAAAACAATAACGGATTTTAGGTAGTAGGTACATTGTAAGTGGTTTTAGGATAAAGCAAGACATGTTTAAAAGATACACAAAATAAATTAGTGAAACAATAGAGAAAAATGGTTAATTAGAGAAGATGAAATATGAGAGAGAGATATTTGAGGAAAAAATATCACAATTGACATTAGTTTCAAATATTACACTTGAGGGTCCTTATATACAAGGCATTACAAACTAAGTTGGAAACTAAAGAACTCAAAAAACAAGCCAAAAAGCCCAAAACACGGGCTCCTAATCGATTACGCCAATTGATAACAGAAAATACATTAGCAAAATAACACTATGTAATCAATTACGTCCTTTCCTGTAATCGATTACGGCTTCGATGCAACTCAACTTTCAGCTTCTAGAACAACTTATTTTTTAAGTTGTTTTCAACGCAATGCTCCTAGAAGCTTATATAATGATTTTGAATTACTTTGTGCATCCAATACACCACCTTAATTCAAATGCTCAAAGTTATCCATGTCCAAGTACCTCACAAACTTCTTGAACACGTCATTTGTGACCCCTTTCGTCAACAAATCTGCAACTTGTTTTTCGTTTCGACAGTATTCCAACTTCAGCTTGTCTTCACACACCAGGTCCCTCAAGTAATGAAATCTCATCTCAATATGCTTGCTCCTCCCATGTATAATGAGATTCTTTGAAATATTAATGACTGAAACATTATCAACCAAGAGTGTGACAAGTTTTCCAACCTTACTGCCTAGCTCTTCCAGCAGATTCATAAGCCACACAACTTGGCACACACACAATATTGCAGTGATATACTCGGTCTCACAAGAAGAGAGTGCCACCACATGTTTCTTTTTAGAACACCAAGATATTGACGCTTCTCCGAACATAAAGATATAACCAGTTGTAGACTTTCAATCATCTTTATCTCCACATCAATTGGAATCCCTGTAACCGAGAAAATTTCATTTTCCGCCCGTATCAGCTGTGGGAAAGAGAATTCCGCAACCAAGATTTTCTTTGACGTATCTTAGGATCCTCTTAACTTCTGCCAAGTGAGACACCCCTGGTCTCTCCATGAATCTACTCGCAATAACGACACTAAACGCCAAATCTAGCCGCGTATTGCACAAGTAACACAACGATCCAATCAATCTCCTATATTGTGTTGGATCAACATTCTACTCATCATCACTTTTGTACAGTTGTAACCTTGCTTTAACAGGTGTATTGGCAGTATTACAATGCTCCATATCACACATTTTCAAGATCTCAAGAGCATACTTTCTTTGATGCATGAGCAGTCCCAATTTTGACTTGTGGAACTCTATGCCAAGGAAGTATGTCATAATTCCAAGGTCACTCATTTTAAACTCCTCCATAAGTTTACCCTTGAACTTAGACACCATGTAAGAAAAATATGACCACATCTTTGCTCGCATTCGTCTTCGTATAATGTCCAAGAAAAATATGTTGCTTTGTCGTGGTATCTCCAAGTTAATTTGAACAAGATGAATAGCGTCCGCATGATTTTGATAATTGTATCGCAGGCGCAAGCGTGGGCGTGGATGTAGACGTGGACGCATGCGTGGATGTAGCCATGGACGCAGACATGGACGTAGGCATAAATTTTCTTTCGATGTTTTTCCAACCAAAATGCTCTATGATGTTTTATCAAATGCTTTTAATTGTTTGTCAAATCCCCAAAATGATTTTAATGCAGTCATCACAAGAAATAATCGTAGTATTTTGCAAACAAGTCTGAAAAGAAAAACACAATTGAATTCTGAATTTGAAAGCTAAAATTTTTATTAATGAAAATGCCTTTTAATAGGGGAGAGTACAAGATGCAATTCCTTGAAATAAGTAATTACAGAAAGTTTAACAAAAATTGAAAATGGCAATGAAAATGATAATCACTACTGTTGTTTCTCCAATATCCTTTTGATAACTCCAATCTCCTTTGCTTCTGAGTCAAATGATTTGGATTAATCCCTCTCCTTCGTGGTCATAGTCGTATTTCTTAGATTGCAGTCTATTTATTCTTTATTTTAAATAAGATCCCTAACTTTTTCATGAACCGTCCTTTCGGGTTTTTAATGCACCAGGATAATTTTTTTTTATGTCCTTAATTTTTCTTGAACCGCCCTTTCAGGTTTTCAATCCACCGGGACGCCCCTTTTTTCATAAGTCTCCGGTTTAGGGTTCTAACTTAGTGGGCTTTTTATATATAGTATTTTTGACTGCATCAGAGTTCGTCAGACGTGGTAGTTCTTCCCCCATTCATTGTTGTGAGGATAAGACCACCACCCGAAAATGTTGTTTTAACCACATACTGACCTTCGTAGTTGGGTGTACATTTACCTCTTGAATCAAAGAGAGGCAATAGAATCTTCTTGAGCACCAAATCTCTTTCTTTGAACACCTGAGGACGAACCTTCTTGTCAAATGCCTTTTTCATCCGATTTTGGTATAACTGACCATGGCATAAGGTAGTCTATGCTCCATAATATCTGTATCTAATCCTGACATTTCTTTGTAAGACCAGATGAATATATCCACATATGCAACAATTTGACCAACCTTTATTTGACGCTTTACTCCAACGTTGCCCCTAGCTTGATCTCTTTTGGATCCTTCTCTATGCCAAGGTTGATGATCTCAATAGATTCTTGGTACAACTGTATATTATCATCCCTTTGCTCTAATACCCTCTCCATTTCTTCAGAGAGTTCAAGATCTTCTTCATCTTCCTCTCCAGCTTGGTTAACAGGTGCATCAAAATTATATCAGATAGCAGCAGTAACATTATCGGTGGTTTTAGGCATGGATCTGCATATTTATCATGTTTTGGTGCAACTTTAGTACGTAAATTTGGAAAATGCATATGAAGAAAAGTATTGCCATTTTTAAGTATAAGAGATAAATGCAAGAGAAAGACAAGGATCTTAATTGAATGTAAAACAAAAATTTTATTAATTAAAATACTACCTGAAACAAATGGGGGACCCTTATAAGCTACCCCTATGCCTTGGGTGTGACATAGCTTCCTTTAAAAACAAGAAAAAATACTTTGGAAAGAAAAAGATCTCTAAAAATCTCCACGACTGTCCAATTCTTGAGTTCTTTTCCTGGAGCACACTCACGGATGAAGTCAGATGCTCTTTTGATGTTGTTTTTTGTTGGATATCATTGCCACTTGTCCACCATGCTCTACTCCTTTTCTGACGAAGGTTTCCTGGATGAGAGGAAACTGCACCTTGACTTTCAGAGTAGCCTTTGATGCTTCGTAGCCCAAACCAAAATGATCTTTATTCTGATGTATCTCCACAAGTTTACCCCAACCTTTTAAGGTATGATCTTCCACAATTGCTTGTAAATATCTCCATGAAGTCATAGTAGGTTTCTTGATTTTCTCCACTGGTAGGGTTACCATTGAAGCAACCTCTAAGACTTGGAATGGTGTTGCTATGCAGTCTTCACCCACACTGATATATCTATAGGACTCTATGTGGCTTACAAAGATATCCTCTTCACCGTCGATTATAACAAATTTTCCTTCAATAAGGAACTTAAATTTTCAATGCAAGGTTAAGGTAACAGCCCCTGCTGCATGGATCCAAGGTCGCCTAAGCAAGCATGTACATGGTGGCTCTATATCCATCACTTGAAAGGTAATGTAGAACATATGTGGACCGATCTTGACAGGAATATCCACTTCTCCAAACACCAAACTTTGGGAACCATTGAAAGCTTTAACTATCATAGAACTTGGTCTTATGACAACATTGTCCAGCTTAACTTCATTAGGATGGCTTTTGGTAGTACGTTGAGGGAGGAACCAGTATCAACGAGCACCCTGGATAGGCTATTTGTTCCTATATGTATGGAAATGTGTAGCGCTTTGTTGTGAGCTCTACCTTGTGGGGGTAACTCATTGTCATTGAAGCCTATATATGATCTGTTGTACCCCAAAATTTGCCCTCCCATATTCTTCAAGGTTTGCTAAGAGCATGCTTCAGAATCTCCCAAGGGTTGCACAGTCCAATGGCCTCCTAACAGTAAAAAATTAGGGTTTTGGTTCTGACAAAG